CCTATGACTACCCAAAACGCGGCGCAGATGAGTTTTCACGCTGCGTACTCCCGCCTCCCATAATCCACCGAAGTGCGGCGCAGACGGGGGAACGAAGTTCCACGTAACGTTGTCCGAGGCGGTCATATTCAAGAAGTTCGGATCGTGTAATGCGGATCGATAGGCCAGAGTCAATTCTCGGTCTGCGCCGACAAAAGTTGTCCCGTTGTCCGAATACATGGCCTGCGGGAGACCGCGACGAGCGCAAAAGCGAGAAAAGGCGTTCAAGAAAGCTTGAGTTGAATAGTCGCCGACTAACTCTAAATGTATAGCCTTCGTAGCTAAACAAATGAAGAGCGCGATGTAGGCTTTGCGCGAGGTAATGCCTCGACCGGCTGAGGCGCGAATTTGTATCGGTCCTGCGTAATCGAGACCGGAGTGCAGGAAACTGCGAGCGGCGGACGACACCCTCGCTTCGGGAAGATCTCCCATTATTTGTGTGGGGATCGCGTTGCGTTCGCGAGTACACACAACACACCTGTGAATGACAGCCTTTACAAGAGTGCGCGCCCGGAGTATCCAAAAGTCGCGGCGCAGAATACTTAATGTTAGCTGAGGGCCGGCATGTAAAGCCCGTAAATGAGCTTGATTAACAATAAGCGTGACTAGCGGATGGGACGAGAGGAGTATAGGATGTCGAACAGAGAAGGGAACAGGGGCTCTGTTCAGCCGCCCACCAACGCGAACTATTCCGTCCTTGTCGAGGAAAGGATTAAGGGAGAGAAGCGCGCTTCTCGGTGAGAGGCTCTTATTGTTTGACATTGCGTTTATGTCCGTGGGAAATGAGTCCGCTTGAATTCGTTTAATCCAAAAGGTTTTGGCAAGGTTACAGTGTGATGCAGACAACGATAGACCACTCGATGCTGGAGCAGGGGGCAGCGTAGGCGAGACCGACGTCGAGAGCATCTTATGACCAGAGCGTGCGCGACGACAAAGGCTTACAAATTTAATGAGATATGCAGTGATACGGATTAACTTGGGCCACGACGAATATCTCTCAGCGAGGTCCCACGAGTCTTGCGGTTTAGAGCATTGCAATGCAATGACTCTTTCCTCTAGAGGAGCCGACGGAGGCAGGCACGTATCGCGGCATGGCCATTTATCAGCTTCGAAGCGCAGCCACTGAGGGCCGTGCCACCATAACGAGTGTTCGAGTATTTCATTGCCGAGCATTCCGCGTGAAGCGCAATCCGCTGGATTGTCCTCGGTAGGCACGTGTCGCCATTCCCCGTCCGGAAGGAGCGCTTGAATATTGCTAACGCGATTGGCCACAAACGTCTTCCATCGAGACGGAGACTGAGAGATCCACGCGAGCACGACGGTGGAGTCCGTCCAGCAATAATACGGAATGTCTCGGTACTCGCTCGAACCGCGAACGAAGTCCACAAGTCGGGCGAGAAGTACCGACGCAGACAATTCCAACCGCGGTATGCTGAGCGACTTCAACGGCGCGACCTTCGAC